TAAGTGAGATAAATTAAAAGATAAAAGATAATTATATTTTATTATACAATTTAAAAAAAAAAAAAAAAATCATTGGCAGATGTAGTCATAGACCCACAGCCTTGCTGTTTTTGCTCTAATTGGAGTCAAAATTTCAATTTTAATCTTCAATGCTTCCTACATACTAGCATTTTTTACCTCACTATATGAGGTGTTCATAATGTATAAAGGTTTTTTTTAACGGGTTGACAAGAGATCGGGTCGAACCCAAGCCCAAGAGAAGGGAAGAGTAGATCGTAAGGTGACTAATGTCACTTGACCTGCAAAACTCCATGCTAATGTATGGAGTTTTCAAAAGAAGAAATATGGAAAATATTATATTTCTATAAGATAATAATTTACATCTCCGCTAGTTCCAACTTCGGCAAGTCACATTTTTAAAAAATATATATTTATAGCCCGGTTAGGAGTAGGAGTGAATAATCATATCCATGCACCCAACCATGATCTATTCTTGGTTCCAAATATACAGTAACAAGAATCTGGTTTTTATTTCTCCATTAGCAACCTTCAGGGCTATTGCAGTGGGGATGAGGCCGGCAGTGTAAACTTGTAAAAAAAAAAGGAAAAAAGAGGAAGACTTTCAACTAGAAAATCCCATCAATTTCAGGTCCAAAATCCCTTTCTTTGCTACCGGATTTGTAGCTCCAACTTCACCATTTGCTCTACACTTCTTCTCTTCTGTCCTATTATCCAAATAAAATTCAATAAAAACACACAAAATCCAACAAACGAAACTGGAAACAAATGATGGAAAAAAATTGAAAATAAAGAAAATTCACGAAAGCCCAAATCTAAAGAAAGAGGGAGAGGAGATGAGACAGATTTGAGAATTAAAGAGAAGGGATTACTGACTATTTGTTAAATTTAATCTATACATTTATAAAAAAAACTTGCTTTTTTTTGTGTCCAGAAAAAACCATAATAATTAACTTTAATCTCTTAATTTTAATTTTAATAAAAAAAAATTGGAGAAGATAAACAATACATCTCCATTACCAACATTAGCATAATAAGAGGAATGGCAAAGAGAATGAGTCGAGGAAGATGACTAGTAGAAGAAGCAAACTTTTTTAGGGGGATGGTTGGTTGAGAGAAGCAAAAAAGAA